ATTCTGATTCTGATTCTGATTATAAATTATAGTCAGTCAACACGAAAAATGATGCAAAATGCAATGTCACACTACTAAATAATGTATACTGTAATGGTATTAATTCAGCTGTGATGTGGGAAAAGCTACATGAAACATTAGTCTCTAGACTATGTTATCCTAACCCTAATCATAGCCAACCATTTTATTTATCCTAACCCAGTGAGAGCCAAAGACTTCTTTTATTTAATGGTGAGAATTAGTAAACTACAGATATAAAGTTATAGAACACAAGGTCAAAAATGTTGTTCAGGTCAGCAACAAATGTTTTTTAAATTGCATTTGTTAAACTAAATTAATAAAACTATTGCTACTACTGGAAATTATATTACATAAACAATATTTTTTTCTCATACATAAGAAAAAAATAATCTCCAAAGCATAGACAATAGGGGCGTAAATAATAATAATAAATAAAACTTAAAGTAAATACACATATTGCAGAACAACAGTAAAAATAAATGTAAACAAGAATAAAGAGATAAATAGAAAAAAGGACCAAAAAAAATAGTAAAAATTTGCTTAGAAAACCCCAAATACTCGTAATTATAAAAAGTAAATAAACTTTGTGAAATAAATAAATAAGTAAAGAAGAAGTAAATAAAATTGGCTCTGAATTCCCACACACATTTTCAGTGAACACACCAGCATACACTGATATACTGTGTACACTGGTCTTCTGTACACAGACCACCCAAGCACAAGCAGAGGCAGACAGGAATTTGAGAAATGTAAGTCACACACATTAGTAAACATCTAAACATCTAAAATCCTCCCACAATTCATGTCAACTCCCACTCTGACAGAAAGCTAATAAATAATGTCAATTCTATTAGAAACCATTGCTGTGCAGTTCATTATGTAAATGTATTAATAAATGTAAAACCATCAGTTACCAACATGAAATCCACATTATAACTTAAATACACATATACTTATTCTGCTTTTTAAGATATAAAGCACAGTGTAAGCTGAATATCCTGTAATAAATTGTGACCTTGCAATTTCCAGAAGCGTGTGTGACGAGGTTGTGACTCTGGGTTTCTCCCTCACACGTCCAATAAAATGATCTCATACAAAAGATTTCTCCGGTTGCTTCCCCTCTCCTGCTGCCCCTGGATGTGGGTTGTCCTTTGCTGCTCCTGCGAAAACGGGCCGCATTCTTCCTACTGGTGAAGACGAGCCGACATGCAGCAGAGCACCCCCCACCAGGAGCAGCACACAGGCCCCCCAGCCCAGGTACAGTGCCGGCCCCAGCTCTCTCTTTAAAGGCGCTGCAATGTTCGGATTATAGAAGTCCCGGATGATTACATAGGCAGTCCAGCAGATGGGTATCAAGTAGGCAAGGCCAGCCACAAGGAAGAGCACCCCTGCTATCCTACCCAGGCGTGCCTTGGAGGCCTGGTTGCTGTCACCCATGCAGTGAGTACACTTGGCCCCCGCCACCCCAAGTATGAGGGCCAGGACGCAGAGCAGCAGGGAGAGAACCGTGAGGCCCCGGGCAGCTTGGGCAGAGGTGGGCAGGGCCAGGGTGGAGTCATAACTCTTGCACTGGATATGGCCTGTGGTCTGAGACAGGCAGTTCATCCACAGTCCCTCCCACAACACCTGGGCAATCACCAGCTCTCCACCCACGAAGGCGGACACACGCCACAGAGGAGCCGCGCACACCAACGCCCCACACACCCAACCCATCACAGCCAACACCAAGCCCAGCAGCTGAAGACCTGTTGTTGCCATCACTGAGGAAACTGTAGAGCACTTTCAACGTCTAAAAAATGTTTCTTAGAAAAACCTCAGTCCAGATTTTTTCTTGTCTTTCTCACAAGTAGGTGGCTGAGAGTTGAGTACTCAGTAGAGAAAGTCAAATCTTCCAACAGTCACTTAGTAAGATGTCCAGTGATTGTGAGATGTGTCCTGAGATGAGTCCCCTTCTTCTCCCCAGTAACACACTTACTGTTAAAATGACAAAGTTTTCAGCAAATTTACTTTTTAAAAGCTCAGTTTGAAAGAACTCATCAAAGATCTGAGCTGATGCTAAATACAGCTTGTAATTGTGCAATAAAGTAGTAATATACGTCAAAATAAGAGCATTAAACTTGCTCCATCTGGAACTGTTTTCTTTAGTTAGGGCAATTTTCCTCTAAATCCCACAGTTCAGGCAAAACCTTATAAGCTCTAAAACTTACTTTTCAATTACTAATCAAGCAGTCAGGTCCATAGACAGCGTGTTGATGGTCCTTTGTGTGTCTCCTGGTGCTGTAGCCGTGTGATGTGAGCAGTTGCTGTCTTGCTTCTGTTATGACTGGCCAGCTTGTCCCTCTGGATCCCATACACTGGGGTGTAGGAGGGCTGCAGTGTGTAATACTGCATACTAAATACACACACACAGAGCTAGTTATGCAAAAAAATGACAGCACAAGGACACTTTGTTACAGACATTGCTGATTGCTGCCATGTTGTTGGTCCATATCATATAAAAGTGCAAAACCACCATTCTAGTATCATTGTGGGCCCTCATCCAAAAGTAATTCCGTGTTCAGATTATATTACCTCATTGTTATCCAATGGATTACTAATTACAAAAATTTGCCATGTAATTTGCAAATATAGTAATACATGTACTAAGTAATCTGACCCAACAGTGGCTACTGGATACCACTGAGCACCTGAGGACACTTTAACAGCATGCAGGTGGGTAAATGAAATGTTGCCCTGTACAGCCACTAGATGGCATTAGAGACAGTGCCACCGTTTCTACACTGCCTTCAACATTAGTCTTTTCTTAAACACTTAGGCACACAGAACTTATTACTTGCAGAAAGAGGTGTGCTGGTTTTTAGCTGCCTGGTATGATGCCAGACAGTACTGAGGCTGGCAGCCGATTCTTTGGATTCAAAGGGCATTTGTCTTTGAGTGCTGTAATGCAGTCTGATGAGCCAAACTGGTCGACATTTTTGCCTAATGGCAATAAAAAAAAACCTTGAAACTTGATTATCAATGAATGGAACAGAGTTTCATTTCTCAGGAAACCACTAAAGGCGGAGAGAGGGAGGAACAACTAGCACAACAAAAGGTCAAGAATCCGACAGATTTTGTTGTTCAAAGTCAGGTTTGACCAGTGTTTGGTATTTCATTCTCTACAACAAGATGGAATTAAGCTCAATTAAAGGTGTGTCTTTACTTGTGTGTATATGGAGGCTTTTTAAACTCCGTATGTGAGTTAACCCAAGAATGTTTCACTCTCTTCTTGTCCACAGACTCCAGCTCTCCAGTTATCCACAACCTGAGGATTGTCCTGCTCGGGAAGACTGGATCAGGAAAGAGTGCAACAGGGAACACCATCCTGGGACGAAAAGCTTTTGTGGCAGAGATTTCCCCATCCTCTGTGACCGAGACATGTAAAAAAGAAACCTGCCATTTTGATGAAAGAACTGTGAGTGTCATCGACACCCCTGGGGTCTTTGACACCTCGATTAAAAAAGACCAGCTGAAAAGTGAAATAGAGAAATGTGTCACGCTGTCTGTCCCAGGACCCCATATCTTCCTGCTGGTGATCAGACTGGATATTCGCTTCACAGAGGAGGAGAAGAATGCCATCAAGTGGATCGAAGACAACTTTGGTGAGGAAGCCTCAAAGTACGACGGCTGGGCTTCATAGATGGAGGATCAGCTCATGAGAAGTCATTGAGATTATTTACACAAAAGTCCTTGAATTGAGAGAGCTCATCCAGGCTATACAGGCTAGGTACGCTGTATTGACAACACACGCATGGAAAACCGCACTCAGGTGGCTGATCTGTTTGAAAAGATAGACGAGATAGTGCAGTTAAATGGTCAGCATTATACCAGTGGCATGTACGAAGAGGCCCAGAGAAAGATGAAATCAAGGCAATGGTGGAGCAAATGTGGAGACTATATGAACTCTGCAGGTAATCAGTTGTTTATGTTAGCAACAGCCACAGCTCTCCCAGCAGCTCATGCTGCTATAGTGGCAGAGGAAGTAGCAGCTGTATCCATAGGGTCATATGTAATGCTCGGAGGTGCAGGGACTTTAAAAGCCATTGGGGGTTGGATGAAACCTAAAAAGACAGACAGCTAAGTGTGTCAAGCCATGAACCTTTAATCAAACATGTGAAGTCATTCCATGTTTTGTTTTTTCACAGATGAGCACAAATTCATATTTGACTTCTGTTATTGCATTATTATTGCATTTCTTTGTTTCATTTATGTGCACTCATATATATCAGTCACAGCTACGACAGCCTGCCTGTTTTAAACAATAAATTAACCTATTATGACAAATCTTTTAAATGTTGATGCTGAATTGATATTGGGGATTTTGTATATGGAGAACACTACTGTAATTGTTCTGTTTGATTTGTTAGAATAAAATAAAACAATGTGATGACAACCTCAAAAAGTATGTTTGATGCTGTACCAAAATCTGTATTATATGAAAATCCCAGTTCTAAAAGCAAGAATTCACACAAAAGCATCCAGGACTCCACACAGTTGCTTGTTTGAGATGAACCCAGTCAGGGTGGATTCATAAGAGTGAGCTGAAAATCATACAGTTAACATGACACCACAGATATCCACCATTAAGGTGAAAGGTTGAAATTGGCACACACTTTTGTGTGCTAACATTTGTCCACATACGCTACGGGTAAATTCACAATGTCAATCAATATATCTAACAGATGGGGAAAAAAATGCATTTTTCAACTAATCAGAAAGAAAAATATCAGTGTGTTTACTGTGGTATTTACTGATCTTCCAATCTAACTCTCACTAAGAAAGAGAATAAAAGTGTTTTCCAAAATGTCACACTCTGAAACCTTTAAGGGCTTAAGAAATATGAATAATTTAATTACACAATGCATTATAATGCATGTATAATAAATGAATATACTATGATGTCTTATAACAACAATCCTGCAGCATTACAAGTATGATTATAATACTTAAATAGGGCTGTTTTGCATGAAAGGTAATATGGTTTTCTGAACATAATGGTACTCGCTGTTATCATAATGTAAAGTGTGGTTATAGCTGCCAAAATGCCTTTATTAGTTAGATGAACTATCTGGCTCCTGAGCAGATAAATGCTCCACTGTGTTTATCCACTAGTTGTTATAATGGACTGTCTGTCATTTGCCACTGGACAAGTACAGTGGGCATTTCACTGAAACCTGATTATAAGAATCGATATTTTCATACTAACAATGGATTATATGACCACTTCTATGTAAAAGGATTTGTTCATCGTGACGAACCCACAGGGAATTATCAACCGAGTTTCAAACAGCAAACAGTCAAAGTTGGAAAACTGTTTCCTGACTGTTTGCCAACTTAATAAGGTAATAACATGTCATTGTTATCAGCATGTGTCCCTGTCCTGTAAGTGGCCAAAATGCAGTTTTAAGCAAGAAATATTCCGCTGCCATGTTCTTTTCTTTTACAGAGGAGGATTCCTGACGGGCATGACTCACAAACTACATAGGGCCGAGGAATAAAAGGCTCTGCAGCAGTTGATCATAACAGCTCAGAACATCATTGGCAGTCATCTACCGAGGTGACCGTAACCCTGCATTGTGTAATGCCAGTAATAATTAACCTTAAACGTTGTTTATCAATACATGGGACATATCAATGGAAGTTAATCAATTCAAATTGTTGACTAGATTTCTGGTTTCTTTCTACAATAAGTGATAAGTGCAAATTAGTTATAATGCCCAGTCTCCCTTAAGAGTCTACACCAAGATTAGGGTGTCACCTGCTTTAGTATGAGAGAAGTCTTCATCTAAACTATTTTCCTAATGTTTTGAAATTCCTTGGCAACAGCTTTCTGCTCTAGTTTCATTTTCCATGAACAGCGCTGTGGTGGAAAGAGAGAAAGGGAGAGAGTTTCATTTCTCAGGAAACCACTGAGGTGGGGAGAGAGAGAGAGAGAGACAGGGAGGAGTAAGCATACACAAGTACAGCACACACGTTCTGTGATCTGGAGGAAAGGCAGGTTTGACCAGTATTTCATGGTATTTCTTTCTCTACATCAAGATGGGATTAAGCTCAATTGAAGGTGTGTCTTTACTTGTGTGTATATGGAGGCTTTTTACATTCCTTATGTGAGTTGACCCAAAACCCAAAAATTCACATTAACTGTTTCCCTGTCTTCTTGTCCACAGACTCCAGCCCTCCAGTTATCCACAACCTGAGGATTGTCCTGCTCGGGAAGACTGGATCAGGAAAGAGTGCAACAGGGAACACCATCCTGGGACGAAAAGCTTTTGCCACAGGCATGTCTCTGTCCTCTGTGACCAAGACATGTAAAAAAGAAACCTGCCATTTTGGATCCAAACGAACTAGATAAGTATGTTCAATCTGATCAAAACCTAGGTGTTTGCACCAATTATACAGTCGATTAAAAAGACCCAGCTGAAAAGTGAAAATAGAGAAATGTGTGCCATGCTGTCTCCTCCCAGGGCCCCCATATCTTCCTGCTGGTGATCAGACTGGATATTCGCTTCACAGAGGAGGAGAAGAATGCCGTCAAGTGGATCACAGACAACTTTGGTGAGGAAGCCTCAAAGTACACGCTGGTGCTTTTCACTAGAGGAGATCAGCTCATGGAGAAGTCCATTGAGAGTTATTTACACAAAAGCCCTGAACTGAGAGAGTTCATCCGTGGCTATACAGCTGGGAACTTTGTGCTTGACAACACACGCATGGAAAACCGCACTCAGGTGGCTGATCTGTTTGAAAAGATAGACGAGATAGTGCAGGATAATGGTCACCATTATACCAGTGGCATATATGAAGAGGTCCAGAGAAAGATGATTTTGGATAAACAGTGGGAAAAGCGTGCAGACGCTATGAGCCAAGCAGCTGATCAGTTGTTTATGGGAGCAGTAGTCACAGCTGTAGTTAACACCCCTGTAGCTGGTGGTGCAGCTGCATCCTTGGGGTCACTTTTAATGCTCACAGGTGCAGGGATTTCTAAAGCCATTGGGTGGTGGATGAAACCTAAAGGAAGAGACACCTAAATCTGTCAAGCCATGATCCATTTCTAGGACCAGTGTGTAGGATTCAGTGGCATCAAGCTGTGCAGTTGCAGAACAATTTAAATATAGCTCAGCCTGCAGCATGTAGGATAAACCATGGTGGCCGAGAAACGCTAAATGTCAGACCTGGACATTTAAGCAAACTTGTGAAGTCATTCAATTTATTTCTTATTCATAGATGAATGCAAATTCATGTTTGACTTTTGTTGTCAAAATATTATTTCATTTTCATTTCATTAATGTACATTCATACATATTAGTTGGAGTTTCCCTGTTTTGAACAATAAATTAACCTTGTATAATAAATGTTTTAAATGTTTAAACACTTTTATCCTGAATTGATATTGAGGATTTTGCATGAAGAACACTATGGTAAAAAAAAAAAATCCTGTTTGATTTGTAAGAATTAAATAAAGAATTGTAACGAAAACCTGTGTTTGATGATAATCACTACTTTATCAATACCTACATTACAATTAGTCACATACAGTATTTTACTAAAGTACTAGAAAAAATACCTTTTTAAACTTAACATAATTGAAAATGTAGGCATGTTTACTGCCGTGGTACTTCTTCTTCTTCTTGCTAAGAGTTAGGTGAGTGATTAATACTACTGTCATGTCCGCAAGCTAAAACTCATCTTGTTTATTTGATCCATGAAAACCCATGGTGTAAAAACAATCAGTCTCCTCTGGTTGCCTGGCAACCTCACAGTGATGACCAGACTGAAATCATCAGTCACATGAACACCACAACATGCCCTTTCTATACTAAAATGTTTATACAGATAAAACAAATTGGATATAACACGTTACTCAGACAGCTTTAGAGTTGCTGGTTGGCGGATCTTGTTACAGGCCAGCTGTTTGGACCAGTTTCCAGTCTTTGTGCTAAGCTAAGTTAAGCTAATGGACTGCTAGCTGAAGCTTCAAATTTAACAAACAGACATAAAAGTGACATTGATCTTCTCATCCAACTATCAGCAAGAAAACAATGACAAACTTACACAATGCATAATAATGAATACATAATAAATGAATATATTAGGCTTTCTTATAACAATTCTCCAAGCATTACAAGTATGGTTATAATACTTAATGCTAAGTCTGTTACATCAAGTTTAGTGTCAAGGAATTGTGTGACATTATGGCATATAACATATGCAAAACAAGTAAGTCCTTTATTAAGTCCTTTATTAAATGTGAATTGGTATGTTGTGCCATGTAAGTGTGAGAGTGAGAGCAGACTTTCCTGTCTGTTGTAGTCTGTAAGCAGCAGCAGCCAATAGACCAGTTTGCAACGCGGCACGAAACTGAAAATGAGTCCCACTCCCTGACTTCAGAGGCACTAATTGTGTGTGTCTAACCTGTAAATTACATTATTTTAGACATTAATGCAACAGCTCAGGGTGATGCAGGTTTTAATTTAAAGTTAACCCATGTGAAACACAAATACCAAGTCATCGCTCCTATGATTATGAATACAATTATTGCTTAGAAAAAAGTAAATCATTTAGTACTTGAAAAGAACTTTTACTTTGAGTTTATCAAGTCAACCATTTTAAGGTAGACTATATACTTGTTAATAAAGAACTTGGTATTTAGGGACATACAAATGACTTTATTTTACAGTCCTATATGTTACTGCACAAAAACTTTGATATGATTGATTCCTGAAAACGTTGCATAAGCATCAATGACACCTCATCAGAGCACAACAGGATAGGACTGGCAGTATATGGTACATAAAGGAAGTAACTGGAACTCACCAATGTATTCAAAGAAGCTTTTTGTACCCTGCTATTATTATTAAGTACTAGTAGTAACCATTTATGTGGATTATTTGTTAATAAGGATATTTTTAGTACTCATTAGTACTCTTTTTTCATTTTTTTTTTTTTTTTTGGCATTTTGTTACCTTTTAAATTAAAGTAAAATAAAGTGTTACCAAAAGCTAAAATACCCTTACTTTGATCAATATGTGGCTGTCTAACCTACATTCCACCATTCTAAGGCCTTTCTTGGTCATGCGTGGTGGAGCACAGGGATTGGTTGCTCTGTTTCCTCACTTAAGCAGTCGGATGACGTCTACCATTGTCTCTCATTTCCTTAAGGGAAATGAACCCGTAATGTTACTAATAATAAAGCGAGAGCAACAGCACATCATGGTGTTAAATAAAGAACGGTAATTAATCTGCATGGATATTTTATTTGAGCCATTATCACATAAGGTTTAAAAGTATAGATTGTGCAAACTTTTATTTACACACAATGAGATCTATCAGTAAGTTTGAACATTATTTATTAGAATTGAAGCTGTTTCTCATAAACCAGAAAACATCTGTTCAAGTATAACTCGTGATGTGGGTTTCATATTTAAGCTCCATACAATAAATGAGTGAACATAAAACAAACAGAGAAAAAACAAGTATTCCATTTCACACCGCTTGTTTACAACTAAATTCACATACTTTTGTTATTGCAGAAAGTTCTTTCAAAACTAATTTGGAAGCAGAATGCAGAAAAGTCCAAAAC